ATTTATTTTTCATTGTAGTTTTATTTTTTATAAATAATATTAATTGTAAATAAAATAAAATCATATTGTTTTTTTAAAATGTATACTAATCATATTCTTTATATTTTTATTGGATAGGTCAAAAAATCAATACAATCTATTCAAAATCGATTGCCTATGTAACAATTTACCCAGAGAATAATAATTTTAATAATGATTTAATTTGTATAGTTAGTATTGATTGTATTTATAATGGAGAAATTCAAGCATTTGGAGCAAATCATATGTCCAAAAATATAGATTCGAGTTCATGTAATTCAACATTCGATTTAACAGGTTATACAGATTTTCAAAGTCAAAGTTGTAATGGAACACAGTTATTTATGATATCAAATAAAATAGGGGATAAAGTTTCGATACCTCTTCAATTTCCAGTTTTAGTAGATAGCCATGAATTGAATGTCAATGGTTCTTCAGTATTGAAGTTAAGATACTACAATCCAAAGACAACAGGAATTATAGTCAAAGATATCTTGGGACAGTTTAAAAAAGCTAGAAATGTACAATATGTGAACAATCATATCTATGGAATTCCGGGCACTTTAACTTGGGATATGGACCCAGGTTTTGGATATGTCAATATACAATTTGGTGGTCAGGTAGAAAACATTTATAAAGCAACCTATCCAAAACCTTACATTAATAGCTCAAGGGTAGTATCAGTAGATCCTGAGAAAGGAATGACCCAAATAGAGTTTATTGGCGCAAATTTTGGTAATAATAAAAGATTAATAACCTTCTTACCAAACTGTTACCCATTCCCATACAAAATCAATATAGATTATGTCAACAGTACCTATCTATTAATTTCAGACTATAATGCTATAACTGAACTTTGCCCATCAAGAGATTTCAGATATTCAATATGTATAGATAACCTATGTAATAGTGGTTCTCTAAGAGAGGGTTACCCACCAATCACCATAAACTCTGTTGAAGGTCCATCTGCTAATAGAACCTATCAGTTTAATGGTTACTTTTTAAACAGTACAACTTTTTCTCAATTAACTCCACAATCTCAATATGGCCAAAGAATATCTACAAGTTTTTATGAAATTGAATTTCAAATGAATTCACCTTCTTATTATCAATACAATGGCAGTAGAGCATTCAAATTTTGGGATAAAAATGCCAACACTAGTATTTCAATTGCAGTCAACGGTTTTGAAGCTGGTCCACCTGTAATTAAAAATGCAATAGAGTCAGAAGATAAAATTCAGGTTAATGGTGATTTCTTTGTTTACGATATGGATTTCTTTATGGATGGAAATAAAGTAGATGCCCATTCTATTCAAGTCGAAAATAGCACAATGTTTTTCATACAACCTAAACCAAGACCTGGAACATTAACAATCCAAAGTCCCGTCAAAGACGCAAACTCGTCAACAATTGTTCGTATTAAACCAACCATAAAATCAATCACCAGTGCGCCAACTAAAGGGGGAATAGTAACTATTTTTGGATCAGGTTTATATCTTGTAAACTCAAATGGCAAAAACTTAAAGGTATCATTTGCTATCGAACAATTCAACAGTAAAGTTAAATCAACTTGTTCTGAAGCAAATGAATTTAGCGGAACAAGTAATGCACCAATCAATCCAGGAGTAGCAATAACCTGCAAGGTGCCAGCCGGTATTGGAAGAGATTTGAAATTCACCATTACTATTGAAGGGCAATCGGCAACATATAGCCAGTTCTCATATTCTAAGCCCATAATAACCTCTATTCAACAAACATCAGATAAAGCAATTGTCATAGGTGACCATTTCGGTGAGAAACAAAGAGTAACAATTCACGTTGATCAGGTTAGTATTCCAGTTCAAACATTAAATAGCAATAGAGTTGAATTTAAAATACCAGATAGCGCTAAAACTACAAATATCTATTTGGATGTCGCAAACCAAGTATCAAATAGTCAACTTCTTTATATTGTTCCATTTATTACAAGAGCATCAGGACCAATTTCAGTAAATGGTGGTACCTTAGAACTTTATGGAAAATACTTGAATTTAGAAAACTATAATAATAATCCAAACAATACCAACAATCTAAAAATTAAAATAGGAAAGAAGTATTGTAAAGATGTAAAGCAATTAGATTTGGTTCATTTCTCTTCGATTACATGTAAAGTTGGTTCAGGTTCAGGTCATAACTTCCCTATCCAAATCGAAATTGATAACAATAAAGTAGATGGAAACCCAAATAATATTCTCTTTTCATACTTCCCACCAATCATCACCAACTCAACCTCAATCTCGCCCAATGGTGGTTTAATTACAGTTTTTGGACACGAATTAGCAAGACCCATCAACGTTACAATTGATAGTAGAGCTTGTATTTATATCAATGTAACAGATAGTGAATCATTAACATGCTATCTTCCACCATTAGACGAACAATTAACTGCTTCATCCATGAAATCGATTCATCCAGTATCTGTAAATGTAAATGGTCAAAACGGTGGTGCCGATGTTTTCAAATATACAGTTCCTGAGAAATATACTTATAAATCAGAAGACGACCCACAAGAAAGAAAAAAAAGATTAAAATGGTTAGTTCCTGCAATTTTAATTCCATCAATAGTTGGTTTGTTAACTCTAATTGCGTTAATTACAATTTTAATGAAAAAATATAAAAGAAGAAAACAAATTCAAAGAAGATTAAATGATAATTCAAGATTACCAGAATAAAATAAAATAAAATAAAATAAAATATAATAAAATAAAATAAAATAAAATATAATAAAATAAATATAAATATAAATATAAATATAAATAATAAAAATAATAATATTAATTCCAATCCATGATTTTAAAAAAAAAAAAAAAATTTTGCTCTCATTTTTGCCCACAAAATCGTAACCTTTTTCAAAAAATAATAAAAAAAAAATATTAAAAATTAAAAAAAAAAAAATATTTTCCCCAATAAAATTCTTTAATCTTTTCGTTTCGTATCTATATTATTTATTTAAATAAAATATTTTTATAGTTTTCTAAAAAATATATATCTTATAAATAAAAAATAATAAAATAAATAATAAAAAAAAAAATTTATAAATAAATAAAAAAAAAATGATTAATAATCATATATCAAAAGAAATCATAATTTAAATAAAATAATTAAAAAAAAAAAAAAATTTTGATTGAGTCTTATGAAAAATCTTTTTTTTTTTTTTTTTTTTTATTTTGATATTTAAAATTATTTTTTTTATTTTTTTTATTTTTTTTTTTTTATTTTTTTAATTTTTAATTTTTAAAAAAAAAATTCATTTTTTCTGTCATTAATTACATAGTTTTCTTTATATATTTCCTCTCAATTCTAAATTATTCTTTTTTTCTTATTATATTAAATTATATTCTAATACATATATATTTGAAGTTTTCATTTGTTTTCTTAATTTTGTTTATTTTTTTTTTATATATGCACATATAAAAAAAATTCACCCACTATACCCCCAGGTATTATCTATTTATATATAAAAACAAACCATATTAATATTTTTTTTAATGAAAAAAATATTTAAATAAACACATTCTAATAAAGAAAGGAGAGGAATAAAAAAGATAAAATAATAATATTATATAAATTTAATTAATTTTTTAAATTATAATTTATACAATATTATATAATTTAAAATGAGTCATATGCCACTTAGAAATATAAATAATAACTTTAATAATAATAATAATAGTAATAATGGATTAAATAATATTAATAACAATAATAATAATAACATTAATAAATTCAAACAATATTTTAATCCAAATATTAATAATAGTGTAAATAACAACATTGTAAATAATAATAATAACAATAATAATAATAGTAATATTTTAAAATATTTATGGAACACCTATACCCAGACAGTAATATACCAAGATTCATTATTTAATTTGGTCGAGTTTTTACAATTTTTTACACAAAATTATTATCAAACCACAAATAGCGATCTATTATTTTTATCACAAGGAACTTTAACAGATATCACAAGACATATTTCAAAGCATCTCATTGAAGAAATTGGCTATAACTGTACTTTTTTAAATCAGCAACAACAAACATCACCATTGTTACCAAATAGCAATATTAATTTAAACAAATTACCAGAATATGAAATTTATCAATATCTTATTGGATTTTCAACAGCTGGTGAGGGACCATTGTTAATGTCATCATTAGATATACTTTCAAGACAATCTCCAAATGGAATACCGATTTCTTTCTTAAGATTTTTAATTACAATTTTAGTTAAAATTTTATCATTACCATTCGATATATTAATAAATGTAGACTTGCAAAATAATAGTAATACTAGTAACATTAATAATAATAGTGGTGGCAGTAGTTTTGGTAGTTTTTTAATAAATAATAATAACAATAATAATAGTAGTAATAATAATAATAACGACTTTTCCAATTTTAATGGTATCACAAATATAAATTCAAATAATAATAATAGTAGCCAGGAAAAAGATAAAAAGAAATATGTAAATAAATCAAATTTTAAACCAATAGAATCATTTTTTTATTTATCACCATTACCATCATCCTTAAGCGATATTTTTAGAGACGATGATATAAATATTAACAGTAATATTAAAAATTCTAATAATAATAATAACAATAACCCTTCGACAAACCCATTATCATTATCATCAACTCAAATTTTTTCACCATATATAGAAAAAACCAATATTGATAATAATAGTAATAAAAGTAATAGTAATAATGATAAAAACAATAATGATAAAGAAAAAAATAATAAAGGTATACCAAGCTCATATGAAGAGGTGTCATCACTTGTATTGTTATCATATCAAATTTTAAAAATAATTGAAAATTTAATTAAAGATACAGAGTTTCTATATGAATTGGTAACATCTGATTGTTTATCTCAACTACAGAGTATATTTCCCAAAGTATTAGTTTTATCACAATCATATCTACAACAGTCACAACAACAACAACAATCATCACCATTTAAAATAAAATCATTTTCAATTATATATCAACAACTATGCCAAATATTTTCACAAATTATGTCAAAATCATGTTTGTCATCCGATACAATTATTTTAATTCATAGTTATGTAGGTTATAGTTAAAGTATATAAAGTATTTAGTTTAAAAAATATATTAATTTTTTTTTTTTAAATTTTAGAAATTAATAAAATATTTATTAAATATCATGGATAGACAAAAAGATCAGCAACAATTAAATTCGATAAATATGAATTTAATTATTGAATTAAGTAAAATTATAATATTTAGTATAAAATCATCTATAGGTATTACAAGATTATTACATGAAGATTTTGTGAAGTCAAATGGTTATTCAATGTTATTAAATGCAATGATATTTGTGTCAGAGTTTGGAACATTAAAGAACAAAGTAGATTTCATCCAAGCAACAACAAATTTATTATTTATAGGATATCAACAACATTCATTAATATCATCATTTTCATCAACATCTTCCTCTTCTTCTGCCTCATCTAATCATGTCGATACCAAAGCAAACACTAAAATATTTGAAATTTATTTAAATGTCTTCTCAATTTCAACATCAGAAGAAACAAAAACTGAATTGCTAAAGTGTATCAAGGGTGTATTCTATACAAGTTTAATTGAGGAAAGTTCAATCCCAACTAGTGATGCTTTTACCTTTAATATAATGACATCTTCATCTCCATCACAAAACACAAATAACAATACTACTGGCGCACCATTAGGTAATAGTACTTCAGCTCAAACTGGTTTATTATCAAGTTCATTATCAACAAATTCAAGGGATAATATTATATTCGAAGAGGTTATAGATTTAGACAGTAGTGATAATCACTTAATTTTCCATCAATTTCAACCATTTACCATCCTATTTAGTCAATTTGATAGTCTTAATATTCAAAACAGAAAAATGATTTTAGATATGATGGATGTTTTATTAACTAAAAATCGTATCTCCATTACCGAGTTAAAAGATTACTGTAATTTATTCAAGTCAGAACTTCCAAGTACTGTATTATTAGTTTCCCAACATTTAACAGAGCTTTTGAGCAAAGGTAAAGTTAATTGCGAAGTTTTAGGCAGAGATTTAGGCCTTGTTCAAAAACTTATGGAGTTTTTAGTCGATCCATGCACTCTTAGATTCTATCCAATTCTTTTAAACAACAAAGAAGAGCTTTCATTATGTTATACTCTTATCTCTGGTAAACATTTCCATAATAGCAAATACTTGGTATTGTATATGATTGTCACAGAGATACTCAATCTTTTGTTAGAATTATTGGTACCAGCTCAAATTCAAAGTATGTTTGTTCAAGACCAGGGTTTAAAGGCCTTGTATCGATTACTATCAGATGAGTATTTAATTCAACCTGCTTTAAAAGTTATAGCCAGTATTGCAATTGGTGGTTTACAATTAGAGTCAAAAATCATCCCAGATCTTATGATCGAGCTTCAAACCAACGGCGGTGGTGCCTCAAATTTAGATTCAAAGGTGCTTACTATGAGAAAGAATATCTTGTCAACAATGTGCTATATTTTTCATAATAACAAAAATTCCAAAAACTCATTTAGAGTTTCCGGAGGTTTCATATGGTCAGTAACAATATTAGAAGGTATCAGTAGATTCATCAATGGAGGAAATAATAATGATAATAGTGGTTTTCATCATCATATGAGTAGTAGCGGCAGTAATTTAGGCGGAATTCACTATCATATGTCAATTTCTGGTAATAGTATAGATTCAATCGGTATTGGTAAAGATAAAACAAGTACATCAAATGAAATATTCTTTTTCCTTAAAGTTCTTATCGATACTTTATCAGCTGTAATGAAAAATAATCCAGTAAATCAAGATTATTTCAGAAGAGAGATTCAATTTTCAACTCTTTCAACAACCTTAAAAGCATGTAGATATATGGAGGGTGTATATGCCACATCTCTTTGTGACTCATTATTGAATATGGCAGTATCAGGTAGCTGGCCACCATCATGCGAAGCACATTCACTAGAGGATGGTTCATTGCTTTCTCTATATTCACCAATCACTTCATTTTTCCCAATTAACTCAACATTATCAAAAAGTTTCGATATCAATTTTAATACTAAATTTATTGAAAAGGAGAGACTAGAACAACTTTCAAAAATAAACGAAAATGAAATTTTAGATCAACAATCACCACCCAAAGTTATTTCAGAATCACCATCAAGATCACCATTGACACCAGCACAAGCTTTACTATTAACCAAAAGCCCAACTCGTAGAGGTAGATCATATACAAACGATTTTTATGTTGACAGAAGTAGTATACTAAATTTAGAGAGTATTGATAATAATGATATTCTCAAATCCCCATCAATGAATTCATCACTTAACTTAGACTTGGCTTCAGATATTAGACCAACCGTTCAAGTACTATCAACTACAAGTAAATTACCAGAGAAATCGTCATTAGCATTGGCTCAAGAACGTTATATATGTTGTCAATCTTGCCGTGACTCTTTAACTATCGAGAATCCAGAAATTTTTAAACTTATTATTCTTTTAATGTCCTCAGAGGATGATATAAGTATGACCGAAACTAAATCATCTTGCTATATCATCAAAGAATTAATATTTTTAACAAGTGCTTCATTGGCAAATCAAAAAAGACTTTCATCATTACTTATTGATATAATAACTCATTTTAAACCACTTTTGCTTTCAAATTATAATAGTTTTGATAGTAATAATAATGACCAACCATCAAATTTAATCAAAAAGAAATTAGAAACCACTGCAAGATTAAAACCATTGCTTTTAGATTTTATTCAAACTTTAGCAGGCCACAATTTAACATTAATTGAATTTAGAAAGTATTTCGAACTACTCAAGATTAAAGATCAATATCCATTGGACCTTTTGAATCTTTTGTTAAAAATATCAAGTAACCGTGAAAATATACCATTATATTATGCAGAGTTATCAAAACATGGTTTAGAGTATATCGACTTTCCATCATGGGGTGAAAGAACATGGCCTCCAACTAAAGGCATAGGCATATCATTTTGGTTTAGATATTCATTACCATGTCTAAGTATAAGTAAGTATCAAAAAATATTTTTTTTTTATTTAATTTTAAATATTAATTTTTTTTTTTTATTTAGATAAATCACCAATATCTTTACTAAGTATTGATGGTTCAATAGGAAATGTAAATAAAAACTGTGAAATTCAATTAATATTAGATTGTGGTATATTACATTATAGAATCAATCATTTTAATGGAACATCTGAAACCTATCACTTTTCAGATTTTAAATTTGAAGCTGATCAATTTTATCATGTCATGTTAACTCATTCACCATCAACACAAATAATTTCTTCAGGATCTTCATTATCTTTATCAGCAACTAACCACCAACACCTCCATAGTGGTTCAAACTCAACATTGGGCTCAAGCCATGGAAGCCATATGAGCACAAAGAAATCACCAGTCAAACTTTATGTTAACGGTTTCTTACGTGGTCAGATTTTAGCAAACTATCCAAAATCAAACTCAATGACCCTTTATGTTAGATTGGGTGGTACAAATGCATCAACATATAACCAAGATTTCTTTAGTGCAAACAATAGCTGGCATCTAGGTAACAGCTATATCTTTGAAGAGACTCCAACTGATAAAGAAGTGTTTTATCTTTATTTACTTGGTCCAAACCATTTCAGAGGTCTAAAGGTTGATATCTCGTTAATAGATTCAATTGTTCCATATTTAGACAGAGCCACTAAATTACATCCATTTTTGATCGATCACCTTTTAAACCCAACCATTCAACATTTATATTCTCTTCACGAAAAAATTATGTATATTTTCACTGCTAAATGTCTTTACGTCACAACCCATAGAATTACAAACAAAACTGAATCGGTAACGCACACTAGCGCTCAGCCACAACTTTCATCATCTTTAGCTGGTGCTATTCCAATGGGAGATAGTAATTCCCAAGCTTTTAGTATTTCAAATTCAATAAATTTAATCAGAAAAGGTTCAATTAATTTAGAAAATGCCCGTTCATTAGAAAGAAGCAATAGCTTAAGCAGCAATATGAGTACAATTAGTATTAACTCTTCAGTTGCTCCAGGTACACCTCAAAAGGATATCTCTTTATCATCAACTCTTAATACCGATTCAATTGGACAAAGGGATAGAACGGCATCAATGAACAGCCCTTTATCTTTATCCTCATCAGTTAGTGTAGCAGGTAGTGGTATAACATCAACAAATTCAGTTCAACCATCATTTTCAGTTATGTCGATTGCTGGTTCTATGGCATTACCCCAATCACCAGGTAAACATAATCATGGTACAGGTTCAAGTAGCTTTTATCAAAATCAATTGGGTAGTCTTAATAACTCACTTAATAACCAAATGGTTTTATTATTACAAAGTGGCTTACCAATTCCATTACCATCAGGTGTCATAAGCCAAATAGGTGTAAGAGAAGTTATTATGAATTCAGGTGGCGTTTCAGTAATTATTTACCTAATTGCCGCCTCAAATGATAAAGAATATCAAAGATCAGGTTTGAAATTACTTCAATCGATTATTCACAATAGCCAACAAAATCTTAAAGATATGAAAGAAATCTCTGGTTATCTATTGGTATCCTATTTAATAAGAAAAAAGAATTGGGTGTTGGACGATCAATTGCTATCAATTTTATTCTCCTTTGTTGGTATTCAATCAACAAGAACATCAATTCACTATATCGACGGTGTTGTCCAAGATGTTTTAGCTTTAAAACACTTCTTATTAGAACGTTCCATTTGGAGAAGAGCCTCTATTCCTGACCAAAAGAAACTTTTTGAAAGTTTGGAAAAATTGGTCAATGCACTTCACGAGAATCATGATTTCAATATAATAAAGTTTAGACAAGCTGGTGCTTTTGAAACTATATTAAAAATGTGCAGAGAAGAAGATTTACCATTAGATCTCTTACCAACCCTTATCAAAATATTACATTCTATTGTCCACAAACCAAATAAACTAAAAGAAGATTTACAATTAATTTTATCATGGTTATTAGAAACTATTCCAAGACAACAGATGTTAAAGAGATATAATTCTTTCTATAATAACAACTCTTCAATTTTAAATAGTGGTAATCCTTCATCAACATTTTCAAGAAAAAGATCATCAAACAAAACTTTATTCCTACATTTAGAAAATCAATCAAACTCTTTATTGCCAATTGTAAATAATAGTTTTAATAGTAGCAATAGTAATAACAACAACAACAATAGTAATAATAATGAAACAGCTATTAGTCATGATGAATTTATTAGAACTAGTATGTTAAATTTATTATTGGATATTTTATCAAAATCTGACAATCAAGTTATTGAAGACTTCCATTCAATTTGTAGCATAGAAACTATTTTTGGTTTGTTAATTAATGAGTCAGTAACCACTAGAGTAATGTTTTTAAAGATTATCGATATCTTTTTGCATAGTAATGTAATTTCTCAACAATTTATCAAGATGAAAGGTTTCCATTTATTAGGTCATCAACTATTATCATTCAAGACATCAGAGCAAATATTTGGTGTATTGTTTTGTATATTATTTGGTAAACCATCCAATTCAGATATATTAGAAGGTGTTTCAATGAGAATCTATTTCCTTAGCCATCTTAGCGACGCAGAAATGAAGTACCCAGGTGCTATAATATCGATTCTTATTATTTTATGTAATTCATCTGATACAACTCAACACATGATCATTAAAATGATCCATAATATATTTTTACAAAGCGATAGTTTCAAGACACTCTTATTAGAAAACGAATTAATTCCAAGATTAGTAGATATTTTAGCCTCAAATTTCCAAAAGAGAATGAATGGTACATCTGTTGGATCCCTATTCCAAAGCAAAGATGATGATAATTGGGTCGCTGAAGAAGCAATCCTTTCATTGCTCAAAGAAATTTCATTACATGGTGCAAAATCACAAGATAGCAGCGTTTTACGTGATATACTCGTAGTTCTTCATTTGAACAATAAAATGGATTACGATTATATCTGTTGCCTCCAAAGAAGAGTATTGTTTGATGTTATTGCATTCTTTAATGATAACAAAACTTTTGGTAACATTGATTCATTAGCATCATCATTTGAAAAGCTATGTGTCCTTACCATTCATACACTATCATACCAAGAAAAGAAAGATACAACCCCAGCCGCACCAAAGAAAGGTTTTAATAAGACAATTAGTAATATAACATCTACTTTTTCACCAAAACTAAACCATCCCCATCATCACCGTTCTCAAAGTACACCAGTTGCTCACTCAAATATTAATAGTTTACCAACAACCTCCACGATTATTAGTAGTGATGATAATAATAGTGGGACATCTAATGCACCACCATCATCATCAAATGAAATTTCGAGTGATCCCCAATCAACTGAAGACTCATCAACTACCGATTCAGACTCACCGGGTTCAAAGAGTAAAAACCACTATCACAATATTAAAAATTTAAAGAATATACCAATTTGGATAAAAGAAGGTAATCTTTTAGATCGAGATGACTTTGTAAAGTCTCTTCTTAAAGTTCTCAGTAATACAAAAATCCCACAAACCAATACATCCTACAGAAACTTATTTTCTACTCAGTATTCTGCAAGATCATTACTTTGTAAATTTGTTTATATTCTCTTAACATTTAATGAATTTTCAGATACTAATCTAATGGTATTACAAGAACTTTCAAATATGTTAGCAACAACTCCATTTACCTCTCCATCAATGCAATCAAACTCTTCAATTTCAAATAATTCAACACCAATGAATTTTACACCAATTATGAATAATAGTGGTAACCACTCTGAATTATCACCTTCAGAAACAACATCATCAACATCTTTAACACCACAAACAAATAGTTTAGCCTATTCTCAACAAACAAATAACCAAATTCCAATTATTAACATTAGTAATACTGATGAAACATCATCACCAAATTTAACAAGCAATTTAAGTTCAGTTTTATCAGAACTTATTTTAGAAGAGGATTTCATATTGGTACTATTACATATCACATATAAATTTATACAATCAAATAATTTTTATCCCATGGAAATTCAAAGAACTTGTTTTAAACTATGGATATCAATTATTCAAAACTGTAATCAAGTTGATGTTGTAAAGAAAGCCTTCGATACCACCACAACCTCACTTAACACATTAGCATCCTCACAAGAGCCAAGAGATCTTTTAATTAGATATCAGCAAGTATTTGTAGAGAATGAATTTAAGAAATGGGAAGAAAAATTCAACCAAAGTAAGAGAGAGTGGAAACTTCAATACTTAGAAACTCAAAAGAATAAACAAAGTACCATTAATAAGAATCAAGATATTTCAAAATCCACCAAGAAACTCTCTGAAAGTTTAATTACATTAAAATCTGAATACGAAAAATCAAACTATCAATACATGATCGAAAATAGAAAAAGCAAAAGATTCTTCCAAACCCAATGGAAACTATTGATTAAAAAGATAACACATGAAAAAGGAATTTGGTCAATTAACGAATCAATTTTAATTAATGACGCCACCGCATTAACAACAAAGAAATGGAAACTAGATCCAACAGAAGGTCCTCATAGAATGAGAATGAGGTTAAAACAAATTTCTGATAACACTAGAAATAGCCATATTCCAATTTTAGCAGAGCTATCATCACCATCAACTCCCAATGCTACCCCGACAACTCCTCCAAATATAACTACCCCTTCACCATCTGAAACACCATTCTCTACATCTCCAAATCAACTTAATCAACTACTAACCAACCAAAACTCCTTGGACTATTCATCCTTTGACAACTTGAAACTGGGTGAAAAAGTTGATGAAGTTTTCAAGTGCTCATGTATTAGCCCATTCTATCAAAGAGATGGTGAATTATTAATTTGTGACCAAAATGTTTACTTTTTAGACGAACTACTTACAACCGCAGATAGATTTAGACAACATGATGATGGTATAAATCTTTTAGATGGTAAAATCAATAACAACAATAACAACAGTAATACCAATAGATCGAACTCATCAAATATTAGCAGTATTAAACCACCCCACAGAGGCAAACATATTATTTGGTCCTATGAAGATATTATCGAAATTCACAAGAGAAGACATGTACTTAAGAACAATGCTATTGAAATTTTCTTGGGCAGTGGTGTTCCACACAAAACATATTTATTTGCATTCAACAAAACCACTGATAGAGATACTGTATACGATTTAATCATGTCAAAACCTTTACCAAATCGTGTGGACTATGCTGCAGAAGTACAAGGAAACATTCTCAAGATGTCTATAACAAAGAAATGGCAAAGTGGTTTAATTAGTAATTTTGAATATTTAATGCATTTAAATACTTTAGCCGGCAGATCATTTAACGATCTTACACAATATCCTATATTCCCATTCATCTTAAAAGACTATACATCAGAGAAATTAGATTTAGAAAACCCTGATTCATTTAGAGATTTCACAAAGCCAATGGGTGCTCAAGATCCAGAACGTTTACAGAAATTTATAGCTAAATATAACTATCTTTTAGAAACCAATGAAAAACCATACCATTATGGCTCTCACTATTCAAACATTGGTTCAGTTCTTCATTTCCTAGTTAGATTACAACCATTCACCTCTTATTTTATAGAATTCCAAGGTGGTAGATTTGATGTACCCGATCGTGCTTTCCATTCAATTGCTCAATCATGGAACCTTTCCTCTTCGATCTCAAGCTCAGATGTAAAAGAATTGATTCCAGAATTCTTCTACTTACCAGATTTCTTGGTTAACTCAAACAAATTTAATATGGGAACCAAACAAGATGGTGTTAAAGTAGATGATGTGCTTTTACCTCCATGGGCTCACGGTGATCCACGTCTATTTATAAAAAAACATAACGATGCTCTTGAATCTAAATACGTCTCTGAAAATCTCCACCATTGGATTGATTTGATGTTTGGTTATAAACAACAAGGTGAAGCTGCCGCTAAAGCATTCAATATGTTTTTCCCACTTACTTATGAAGGTGCTGTTGATATTGACTCGATCGAAGATCAACTAACCCGTGACGCAACTATTGCACAAATTCATAGTTATGGCCAAACACCAAAACAAATATTTACCAAACCACACCCAAAGAAGAATTGGAACAAAACTATTCGTGTTGTTCAAGACTGTATATTCACCAAACCAGAAAAACTCACCTCGTATACTATGTTCCAATATCGTTCGCCAATAGGCTCAATTGCTATTACAAATGACTCATCACCAATTCATTTAGCTCCACAACGTATTCTCTTTTATCCAGATAACAATAAATCTATTTCATGGGGTCACTGGGACCAAAATCTTAGAGTTAATTCAATTGATACAGGCAAAGTACTCTCCATTATCGAAGTATTAAACGATGATATTATTTGTGGAGATATCACAAAGAATGGTCGTCTCTTTGTTACTGGTGGTACTGCAGGTACAGTTAAAGTTTGGAAACGTTGTAACAATGACGGCACTGTGATGACAAGAAAAGAACGTGGTGACAATCTCAGTCTCTGGTCAACATTATATGGTCACACAAACTCAATTCTCTGTATTACCGTAAGTCAAGAATTTAGCATTATAGTCAGTGGTTCAAAAGATTCAAATTGTATTATTTGGGATTTAAATAGATTAACCTTTATCAACTCTCTCCAACATGAAAACCCAGTTACCTCTATCCAAGTATCACAAACAACAAACAGCATTGCTACATTTGAAACTTGTGTTAACAGCAGTTCAAACACTGAAATCGAAACTAATAATAACTTTAGCTACTCAGGAACTTTAAGATTATGGAATATTAATGGCAAATTAATCGAAAAGAAATCATTTAATAACGATCGTGTAAACTGTATGGCATTTACATCAGCTATTGAAGGTGTAAATACTAATTTATTAATTACTGGTATGCAATCTGGCTCTATTATACTTTGGAATGCTTATAATCTTCAAAAAATTAAAGTTTTACATTCAAAAGGAGCTCCAATAACAGCTTTAGCTGTCAGCAAAGATAATAGCCAATTAATCTCAGGTGATGTAAATGGTTTAATCGAGTGTTGGTCAAGTCGTAGCTTCGATGGATACTCCTCTATTGTCGGTTAATAAAAAAAAAGTAAAAATAATAAAAGTAATAAAAGTAAAAAATATTTTCAAACAACAAAGTTTATTTTTTTTTTTTTATTAATTTAATTTTTCTCTAATATACAAAGTATTTACTTATTGTTTATAATTAACTATAATTATTTTCTATAATTTTCAAAAAGGAGAAAAAGAAATGAAGATCTATTGATTTTAAAAATTCCTTATTTGTATTCAAACAAAATAATGAATTTAAATTTGGAGGTATTGATTTTCTGGTTAATTTTGGTGTTGCTGACATTACTTTTAAAGTTAATAGTGATTGAGGTAAATCATCTTCTTTAATCTCTCTTGTAAAGCACTGACCTAGCGATAAACTTGAAAGATTTGGTGGTAATATTTCTTGTCTTAATGGATGATTATATTTATAACCCAAATCTAGCTTGGTTAGACTATTAGGGAAAGTTGATGGTTTAATTTCAGTATTAAAGTTATCTCCTAAACTTAAAATTTCTAAATTTCTTAAAGATTCTGGTGCCTTTTCTGAATTGAAATAACTTGGTGGTATATCCTTATCGAAATTAATTAATTTTAATTTTCTTAAATTCTTTGGTATGTTTGAATATCTAAAATTTGGAACTATTTGAAGACTTGTAACTGAATCTGGGATAGCACAAAGCTCTAGATGATCTGGGTTCATATTTCTACCAAATTTTAGAGTGGTTAAATTCTTTGGAAATGTGCCTGCAGCTATTGGTCTGGAAAAGAATGCACCAAACTCGATGGTTGTTAAATTGCGGGTATTTATAAATTGGTTTTGAGCTAATTTAGTGTCGTAGTCAAACGCGAATACCAAGTGGGTTAAAGATTCTGGTAATGAATCGCTTGGTAACTCACGATTATAATAAAGGCCCAAGTCTAGTTTTGTTACTGTGTTAGGGATAGATCCATGTACCACTTTATTATTTGAACCAAGTGAAAGATCAGTGATACCATTTGGTAGGTAACCAGGTTCTATTGGGGCTGTAACGTAATCGCCAAGTGTCAATCTTCTAATACCATCAGGAAGCCTATATTCATAAATTAATTTTTGTGATGTATGAGAAGTATTAATGCCTAAGAATAGCTCGGTAACGCTGGGTGGTATATTTTTAAATGTTAATTGGTGAGTATATTTTGAATGAACCTGTAAAGTTTTTAAATTTGGTGTGTATTTTATAAATGAATTTGCATCTAGAATTTGGTTAAAGGAGATACCAAAACGAATTGATTCTAATCCTTTTGGAAGGCAACTGGCTTTAAAAGGTAATCCTCGGTTATTGTAATCATTGCCGAAACGAATTGATTTTATTGAAGATGGCAAACTATCGTGAGTTATAACTTGATCCCATCTATTACCAAAAACAATAGCCTCTGTTGAATTTGGGATATCTCCTTGCTTTAATGGATGATTATATACATCTGATAGAATAACCTTCTTTATTGTTGGAGGAATATCACCTTTCTTTAGTGGATGTGAATACTTTTTACCCAAATCTAGACTCTCTATCGGACTAACTCTATTTTCAAATGGAATAAAACCTGGCCACAACTCTTGATTAAAGTTTTTAAATGCCAATGATACTACATTTACAGGTATTATTAATGGTGCTCTCTTTCTAGTTGAATAGATTTCATCATCTACAATACAAATATTTTGTAAATAGCTTTTCCAAAAATAATGATCGATTTCATAATATTTAAATTCTCTTTGAAATTTGTTTGAATTGAATATATTCAAATGATAAAATATTGTGGATCTAATAAATTTATTTCTAAAAGATTTGTAAAATAATTTTGATACCTCTTCATTATAACTCTCCATAATATAGTTTCTTTATTATTGTTTATTTATATTATTTAATTGAAAAATAATAAAACATAAAAAATTTAAAAAAAAAAAATCAAATTATTTTTTTTTAATTTCTTTTTAATTTTTTATTTTAAAAATATCATCATTTCATATAAAAAATAACCCTTTTTTTTTTATTATTTTCTCTTTTAATTCCAACAAATATCTATTTTTTCTTTTAAAAATTTTAAAAGATTATAAATATTAAATCATAATCAAAATCATAATAGAAAATATTTTTCTGTTTGTTAACATTATTTGCACTTTTATAAAAATGTATTTTATCTATAAATAAAAACTTTGTTAATTACCAAGATCCAGCTATAGATTTTCTTTTATTATTTTAAATTATCAAAAAAGAAATATATAAAGTAAATCAATAAAAATTGTATTCATGTATATTATTAAAAAAAACTTAAAATAATAATAAAAATAAAAACAACACCACATTGGATCAAAGATAAATAAAAATTGTATAATTAATAAATAAAAAATTTTATACAATGAAAAAAAAGAAATTATAAAAATATTTTTTTATTTTTATTCTTTTTTAAATTAAAAAAAAAAAAAATCAATCATAATACAAATTCATATCAATGAATAATTATATATTTTTTATTTTTATTATAAAAATTGTAATTTTCATATTTTGTTAAATCTTTATATTTTGTTGTTTTTTAAATTTAAGCATAAATAATTCCTATCGCCCCCTTTTTTTACTTCCCAAAATAGTTTAAACGAATAGTAAGCATATATATATTGTTTTTGTATAAAAAATATATTTAAAAATAGGGTGTGGTTATGAAATTTAAAAACCACACCCCACTCAACTATAAACACACCCACACATGAGATTTTTATTTATTTATATCCACTAAACACATTTACTTTTATATTATTAAAAAAAAAATTTTAAAAAATATCCCCACAACACACATCAGCATTTAAAAAATAAAATCTTCAACAACAAAAAAAAAAAAATAAAAATAAAAAAAAAAATAAAAAAAAAAATAAAATAAATTATTTTTAAAAAATTAAGATTAATTTAAATTAATTTTAATAGCAGAAGGAATAATAATAAAATAATAATAATAAAACTCCAATTGTGTGAATTATATTTGAAAGTTTATAGTCTTTCTTTTTTTAAAAAAAAAAAAAAAATAAAAAAAAATAAAAAAAAAACTATATAAAAATAAAAAAACTAAAAAGTTACCAAATAAAACCAGATAGTAATAACCTTATAATATTTTTTAATTTTTTAAACAATAATAATAATAAAAAGAAATTAATTATAAAAAATTTAAAAAAAAAAAAAAAAAAAAAAAGTTTATACACACAATTTTTATTTTTTTATACTTTTTAGGGTTATATCCAAGTCTTTGTCGTTTTTATTGTTACAAATTTATAAGATAAAAAATAAAATCTAATAAACAATAATAATAATAATAAAAATTTAAAAAAAAAAAAAATCTATCAAACTATATTTAATTTACAAATAATTAAAGAAATCATATATTTTTAAAAAGCATTTATATATTTATTAAACATATATGATATAAA